ATCTCGAGGGTTACGTGTATCGTCGCTGAAGAGAAAATCCTTCCGAGCCCCAGGAGAGGGAAAACCTATTATTTTGCTGCTCGAACATGGATTTTGCACTGGTAAGAAAAAGGCGCTACACAACGCCTTTCCTTGGGCGCTAAAATCAGAGTTAAAGCGCTTGACACCAACAGAATGAACGGTGCTTTTCCTGTCATTGGCCCGCAATTATGGAATGCTCTACCATCTCGCGTTTCGCCGCCGCGCTCCGCCCGCGCGCGGAATGCGGCGCTGGTCCGGGGGCCTGGAGCGGCTCTAGAGCAGCTGAGGTGGCGGTGGCTGCGGGCGGCACGCGAGTCCCACCCCAGCCGCCAGCCAGGAAGTAAGAAGGAGACCTTGTTTTCCAATTATACAAAACTTGGCGGCACTTGCACAACGAGTCCGTGGATGGTGGCTCGAGCCGGACCGGCCGGGCCCAAGAAGTGCTCTATAAAGTGGAGTGCGGGGGAGTGGCTACTGTTTTTATCTGAACGCCTCATGGGAACAAACCCTCCCCCGTCCCGTCCTCTCTCCTCTTCCTTCCCTGCCGGGCCGGCAGTACCGCGACGCCGCCGCTCGCGCTCCTCGCCTATCCCTCTCCCTTTGTTCCGTCGGCGGTCGCGCCATTGTAGTGGCGGCTTTCGGCCGGGACTTTGGACGCGCGGCACTTTCTGTCTCAGGTAAAGTGTTGCGACTGCAAGTCCTCCCTGCGGGCTGCGCGCGCGTAGCTTTAAGCTCGCGTAATTTATTTTTGCGCCGGTGGAGCCGTTTCGCCAGCCTTCCCTTTCCTCCTCTACCTACGTACCTACAGTATAGCAACGCGCGGGATGAGACAAAAGGGCGGCCGCTGCTTCTTTCCCGAGATGGATGTCGGGAGGGATTAGCGGGCAGGGAGTAGCCGCGTCGGGCCCGGCTGAGAGTCGCCCCGCGTGAGAGGCGGGCCCGGCGCCTTTTGTTCGGAGCAACATACAACTTTGTTCGACAACCGGGGGGGGGGTGAATCCTGAAGAAACGCTGTTGAGTAACAACATCTTATTTGTAGATGCTTTATGTTAAACACGGTTGAACACTTGCAAGTACCGGTATTCGACTGCGGTTGCACACTTATAAGTGTTGA